CTAGATACTTAGAAGAAACACCTGAAGAAATGATGAATCTCTAAAAGATAGTTTTATGGAGTATTTTGTTTTAGTGGCAATGGCTTTTTTTTGTTTGTTTTTTTGATATTTTATTGTGCTGATGAGTGTAAAATAAGATAAACTCTCTTAAAGAGTGTTACTGATTTTGACCACATTCTCTCTTAAATCCAGTGGGAGTTACAGAACTATATAAGGTAGCATATGCTTCACTGTTTGTATACTCAGTAGTCAAATATCATGTAATTATCCTACTAAATGACAGAGTGTTCATATTTTAAAAGATTTTTTTCCCAAAACTTGTCTTATTATGCATACAACATAAATCAATCCTTATGCAGTAAACTGCTAAAAAACAAACAAACAAACAAACAAACAAACAAAACATTGTAAAGATTTTGAGTGGGCCTAGCATCAAAGTATCATCATAATTTCAGCCAAAATGCCCCAGACATTCAGGTGCTCACACTGCAGTCTTGACATTAATCCAAGCTATGGGCTTCCCTGAAGGAGCTTCCCACAGGCCCCAAAATACCAGCCACTTTTATCTATGTGTATACAGATGGCCACAATCTGGACTCTTGGTGCTCAGTCTGCATCTTGGCAAAGGGTCTTGCACCTGGGGTTGACCACTGGTTGAGCCTTGAGAAAAGTGGCTACTTTTTATTTTATTTATTATGAGTAATGATTCATTTCTGTCACTCTTTTTAAAATCCACATTGGCATGCAGGTGACATACATACCTGATCATAAGACACTGGTGTCTGTCTGTGATTTGAGAGTTCTACTAATGTACTAACATCTGTCCGAAGGTCAGATTTGCAGCCAACCATGAGCATTTTGGTGTTGGGGCAAAACTCCTGGATCTCACCTTTCCACTATTGGGGGGAAGAGAGAAAAAATTAAGAAAGTGCAGGCATCCACACAATGGAAAACAATTTCTCCACTGGCAGACATCGGAAATGGGACTCATATAGGGCATTTAAGAGAAAGTGTCACTTCAGATGAAGAAGCAAACTTGCATTTATCTTCTAAGTAGACATTAAGTTTTACTACTTTTTAAAGTGGATCCATTAGGGAAGGCTTATGTATATTATCTATTCTCTCTTTCTGTGACTCAGTATCTGTTCTATTGCAAGAGGCTAGGGTGTTAGCAGAAGGTAGCTTCAATAATTTCTTAATTATTGGGGTATCTCTGAAAGATGATAAGTGCCTTAAGAATAATTAAATATTCTAAAAATGAGTGTATCCTCAGATATGTTGAGCTGACACTTCCTAGCATGGAAGGCTGGGAATAAGGCAGAGCTAAGACAAGCACAAGTATGCATGCACTGATCCCATCAAGAAAGACAGAGCAGCTTTCATGTGATGAAATCTCCATTGAGTTAATAAACATAATATCCTGCCTTTAAGGAGCTTCCGTTCGAGTGGCCGAATCAACAAAGACCACAACATTGTAAAGTCCTGTCTCTTGGGCTATCTGGAAGGCATCTGGTCCTGTGGCTCATATGACCCTGAGTTAGTTTTAAGTTAAATAAGTTGTTAAATATTTCAATTTTAGTCCAATCTGGCTAGAAAAAATGATTAGTCAAGAAATATCTGACAGGGAATTCCAACTGTGCCCTTAAAGAGTAAACAGACAACTTTTTGTGGTTTCACTTCCTCAAGCTTGAGAAGACCATCAGGATGGGAGTTGGGAGTTCAGAGTATTCATAAGAGAGCGATGCCTCTTGAGGAGGACACATTAGAGGGGCTGAGATCATTCGTTCCCGACTCTCTCTTCCCACATACACGAATATGTACTAAGCGCTTTACCAAATATCATGGTGGTTACAAAGATGATTAAGACATAACTGTGCCTTCCACAAAGGAATTCATAGAAGAGTGGGGGTGACGAAGTCACATATTTAATACTAGATAAGAGGAACATCCTGCAGGAGCAATTTAAAAGACCACTAGAGAAGACATTTCTAGATCTAGAGGTATACTATGGACAATGAATGAACTCTAGTTCAAAGCACACCAGTGGATTGAAGGTGTAATAAGAGCCTAATTTATCGTCCAACTCTTCCTTCCTTCCTTCCTTCCAGAATTATTTAAGAGCATCTACTACCATGTGCTAGATGGAGTAAGAACTGGAAGGTAAATTTAAAAAAAAAAAAAAAGAAGAAGAAGAAGAAGAATATGATCTATCCTGCTTTAAGCCGCTCTGACCTCTTTGATATTCAAGGGCTTAAAAAATTCACTCACTCAAGACAAATCATAGCAGGGGTTATCACGAGTCTTACACCTCACGCGAATGGAAAACATACTCATTAATATCTTTAAGGCCAAAGTCACTATTCATTTGGTCTTAAAAGATGAAAGTGAAATAAAACAGGAGAGAGGCTTTTCATCATAAATTATGCATAACCTGATGCTACATCAAGTAAAAGCTCCAGTAAATAAGCAATTTCTTTTACTTACAGACAAGCACTGGACATGTCGTTATGCTGTTCTTCAGCTATGTAATGATTTTGGCTTCCCTCTGCATGTCTAGCAATTGTTTACAAAAACTGAAGACAGGAAAAGTGTATTCCTGCCTGAATCTGACAAACTTTAGCATTGTTTGCATTAAATACACATTACTCAAAATCGAAAGGAGTTAAAAAGTAAAAAAGAGTCTTTGATCTTTTAAGAAATTCATATTTCATTAAATTGTTTGTCATGTTTAGTAGACAAGGACGATTCATCTTCAAACACTAATTTTATAAAGACACAAAAGACAAGCAGTCGAACATGATAGAGAAATAAATATAAACTGATAAAAACAAATGAAATATATAAATACTGACTTGGATTCAGCCACATCCTGTCTAAGCCTTTGTGCACAGAGAAGAGGGTGCTCTAGAAAATGGTCTGGTTCTGAAACCCCACAGTGCTCCAGGCCAGGTCTGAGAAATCAGCTAGTGGCTAATATGTGCTGATCCATGGAAAAGCATATGCCTCCTGTAACAGGGGGCTGAGTCCTATACTGGTGGAGTCCAAGGAAAGCGCCTCCTTCCCATTGGCTTCCCCAGGACCCAGACACACCTGGAACAGGTTCCCTTCCTCTTGACCTCCCCCTGGTTCTGTCCAGAGCTTCCTCAGTCCCCTTCTCCACCTACACTACCTTACTTGCCTTTGCCTCCAAGAGCTGGGTGTGTGTCATCATCTAGAGCATGTTTACAACTACTGTTTTATTAATATCTGACATCTACCTGATCACAAGTCACCTTGTCTCATGTCTGGAAACACACCCCTATTCCTCCTATATTAGTTCAATTTCTGTTTCTAATAAATAACTTCATGAGCGAAACATAGCTGCTTCATTAAAACAGCTATTATTGCATTCATTTCACTATTTGAGTTGAGGTCAAATGTAAACCTGTAAACGAAGGCGTGATCTATAGGGAAAATGAAGGAAGGAAGGAAAAAAGGAAGACATGCAGTAATCTATATAATTACTTTTAGCTATACCATTTCCACCCAAAGGATAAACATAGATGTTCTTAAAAGGGTATTTTGTTTCTTAAAATGAAATACAATTTTAAGCAGTTTCATCATCAAAACTGGTGACACATATGTGTGGAAACCCTGTTATGTGACAGTGCCCTTTTTAGTGTTCTAACAATAAAATATATAGCCGAGTATTAACTAGAGTGTTGGAGCTCCCCAGTGGACCATGTGTTTCTATTTTATATATGGGTCAGTTCTGAACTGTGTCATCGTTCCCCAGCACTTGCCTTTTTTAGGACACTGTCTAGAGTCTCTGGTCTACTGATGTCAAAGCAAATCAGCACGGCATCAGAATCTGGGTAAGAGAGGGGCCGGACGTTGTCATAATAAGGAGAACCTGAAAGAGACGAAGATATACAAGTTTTCAGATGAAAATCCCCTTTGTCGTGCATCAACTCTGCCCTTTTGCGTTAAATCCCATGAATGCCACATGACAAGCCCCACTCCCACCTCCTCTAATTCTTGATAATGAATGCAAACAAACAAGCCAAGCAATAATATATTCATTTCTACCAGAAGAAGAGTGAAGCCTCCCGAGTATCTGACCTGAATTCAAGGGGAGGAGCTAGGACCTTACGTTGAAATCTGTGCATTTCAAAGAGTAGATCCCAAGGCACCTGGATGAAGTGCAGAAGCTTCTAGAGTCAAATGGCCTGGAGTACAAGTCTACCTCCAATACTAAAAGTGGGCAAGGCAGGCTTGCTTTAGGACTCTGCACCTGATTCTTCATTCATAAATGAAGGTGAAAACATTATCTACCTGGGAACAAATAAACCCAGGCAGGTCCTGGCATTTAGTAAGGGATCAGTAAGTAGTAACTGTGGTTATGGCTGTATCGCTGCTATTAAAAGCTGAGTGGCAGCATGGACCATAAATGGAGCTACTTCTTGGGAAAGTGACAAAAACTCGAGATCACTCTGATGGTAAAAATCTCGATGTGTGGGGGAAGGAGGAAAAGGGTAGATTCGGCTATTCAAAGAGAACCACAGTAAACCACAACTATGCCACCCTGTCTCAAAGTTCCAAGTTTGGATAAGCCATTGACCTTTGAGCTTATACAGACTCTCTTGCTGTTACAACCACAGCATGTAATAAATGCTATATTGGATCTTGTCACTTTTGTACACAGTTCCATCTCTGAGAGTGACACCAAGGCATGATCCAAGGATCCTGGCCTGAGTTAAATCTAGGGCACACTAAAAATTCAAGTTCCAGTCAACCGATTTAACCACAGAACCCTCTAGTTGCTTAGGAAAGTTCTCCTTCAAGAATCCCAAAATGTGGGCAATTATATGAGGCCAATTATTATCAAATGGTGTGACTATAAAATTAAATACAGCTTGCCAACACTACGTATTTTTTTAAAATCATTTTCAGTATACTGACATTTCACAGGCATAATAAGAAAATCATTTTACTAGGGAAAATATATACATATATATGTATCTGCCTCCAGAGTAGAGAAAAAAAATCTAAGCCACCAAAGTCTTTTTGAAACCCAATTTCATTTTGACACCACCTTCCATTTCTAACAGAAAAACATGACATGTTGTCTCTGGATAAATCAAAACCTTGATAGTCAAAGTCAGGAGGAGAGAAAGACTAAAGCAGCTTTCAAAATAATCTTTTACACTTCTATCAAAACAAAAAAATTTTATTTTGTTCTTGAGATATAGAGGTTGGTTAGGGTGCATCAGCCACTGTGGTTAGGGTGCATTGCCCTCTATTCACAGTGTATTCTGGGTCCCAAGCATTCATTAAGGAACCCCAGGATCACTGTGGCCTTTTCCCTAGCTGCTTTAGGAATGGAGAGTGACAGCTTAAGCCAGGTGTGTCTACCTAGCTAGGAAAAAGGGAATGTTGTAGGAATCAGGAAGGAAAGTGTGAATAGGTACAAACAATCTAAGCCAGAGTTTTTCCTGAGCTGCGGCTTCCTACCCGCATCTGGATTCAGGACCCTGACAAAGCAGACTGATAACTGAATGACATTTTCCCAAATCTTAAAGAGTTTAGAGTTTTTTTTTTTTTTTTAATTCAAGTCATTTTAAATATTAAGGCATGTTAGAATGAAGACATCTCTGAAAATGACAAGCTGTGGCCCCTGCCTTGCAGCCACTTAAAGAAATCTTGAGGTTAAGGGAATAATTCACAAATAATTCACTAATCTAAACATCGTTGAGAGGCATCAGAAATGAGATAGTATATCACTCTATATGGTGGATATAGTGGTATTTTTCTATTTGTTCCGTGAAACTCTGACTTCCTCAATTGTAACCTCTCCTGTTTCTGGGTCCAAAGTGTAACTTTGACACGACTGCTGTAAACATTAGGGAATCTCTTTCCAAACATGGAGTCATAAAATTCCAGATCACAGTGTGAAAATCCAAACATCGGCCATGTACATGAGGATTTCCTCTGCTCTCCAAAGTTAGGTGGTTAGCTGGCCCCAAATCCATAAATGAGAGCTTTCCAACAACGAGGACTGTCAGAAACTCAACCAGGCTTCAGAACCTCTGGTCTTGGAAATCACTCATTTTAGGAAAGACAATTATCCCACTGTGGATACTTTCCAGTCTCAGTCAGACCTGAACTTGGGAGGACAGGCATCTTCAGGTGCCTTATTCCTTCAGGGCAAGACTTGTGACTAGATGAGAGTTTTCACTGCTATTCTCAGGTCTGCAACTACTTTGCATAACGATGGAGACCATCTTTTCCAAATACAAAATTTAGGAAAGACAGCTACAGAATTACAAAGGTGTTAAAATACACTAAGTAAAATTGGGACTACAAAGAAAATAGTTTCAACCTTTAAGTCACCACGTGGCTGCGGAGAATACTCCTCCCCTCCCTTTGTGTACTGGGTTTCCTTCCCCCACTCATTACATGGCCACAAAGGGGATCTGGCTTCGTGTTCTGCCCTCTGCCAAGGCTGGAGACTCTTGCTTACTAGAACCAATCAATCTGCCTTCTGCCCAAATATCTGAAAAATTTTGACACTGGTCTAGTTTAAAATGAAATAGAATTGGCAAGTTACACTACATTCTTATAGAGGCTTGTTTCTGCTTGTGTTTTTCTTTGGTTTAATATTTTGAATGAAAATACATATGTACGTAAAGGTTCATGAAAAATAAACCACTTTGCTTTTTGGGATAAAGTGGTAACTTTTAAGAGCTTTGACAGGAGCTCATTAGGAATAATCCTGTCCTATTATTTTTGTTAATGAACGGCTCATTTTGATCAACAGGAGTATCAGAAGGTAGTGCTAAAACCAATCCCCACATTTATGAGTTATAATTTATCTAACCACTAACTACAAAAGTAATTTGTTATTAAAAATAACAAAACCGTGTATTCATTATACTTTTGATGGGGTAAGTTTAAAACTCTTTTTGGATAGGAAAGCCTATTGTCTTTATTTTTTTCATAGTTAGAAAAAAAAAAAAAAAAGGTCGATATAGAATTATTAAAAAATTATCCTACCAGAAAAAAAATCTAACAATTCATCAGCTAAGCAGGACCTTCAGGGAAAAAAATCCTGCGTAACTTGATAGTGTTTGCTCTGTGTTTAAGCACTTTGAATTCTGCCCTGTTCTCTTCTACAAAGCCCGAGCTACTGCACAAAAGAAAGCAACCACTGGAGAGTGCACGGTGCAATCACAGGCATGTGTGGGATAAGTCACTAGCCAAGAAAAAATGAAGAGGAATTCCAAGAATGGCCCTCTGAGTGAGAAGCAACAGGGGAGGCAGAAATGACACCAAAAAAAGGAGCGGGGAAGGTAAGCCCATAAAATAGCCCTTAACTCTTACATCCCTCCAGAAAAGTCTTAAAACATTCTCTTAAGCCAAGCAGCAAAACGTTACCTTTGTGATTATCTATCTATCTATCTATCTATCTATCTATCTATCTATCTATCATCTATCTAGATGCATATGAAAAGCTTCCAGAACTGTAGAACTGAACACAAAAAAGAGTGCTAGACATTTCTCACCATGTAGGAAAGTACTGAACTTTAACTGCAGTAAGGTACTGATGTATATACTCTAGTACCCAAAAATGTACTAGCTAAATTCAGTAACTCTAGGTACTGGTACTGAGCTTTCTCAAATAAAACTCTTTCACGTGAAGCATGTGAGGGCTTCACGCACATGGAAATCTCAGGTGCAGTATTTTTATTATACTGCATGAAACTTTAAGCACACAGCACTATTCCAAAGTCCTTTCTAATTAACCTATCAGATCATCAAGAGAAAACCAGGAAAAGTTCATATTGTAAAGAAACAACTACTCCACATATGCTAAATGTGTGACTCTCTTCATGCCATCCCCACAAAAAAACACCCTCAGTTAAAGGGCTTTGCTCTTAGCTTGGGTGTAGTTTAGAATACGTGCACATTTGTGGTTCTCTGAGTTCCTCAAGTTTGGCAAACATCAGCAAAGTTCTAAAAGGCTTTTGAAACTTCAGGTCTACCCATCTTTGTCTTCGAGGTCATTAAATCTGGGTGAGAGCAGTATTTCCAGGCCAAGATCAGTCACAAAGTGCCTCACCCAGAAACTAATTCTGTAGACACATACCTGCCTGCTTCCGTCATCCTTTCACAAAGATAAAATATACCATATATGTACATCATTAAATGTATATGTAAGAAGATCCATGCCCAAAAGGAAGGCTTTAGAGAACCTTTTGCGAAACTTGTTCAAACACTGTGAGGTTCTATAGGAGTCTGAGAACTGAAAACTCTTCTAGTTGAATACTTCATAATATTATACTTTCTTTTCTTGAAACTTAAATTGAAAAACTGCCCTTTTCCCCATAAGAAATTCCTACCCAAAACAATAAAATTAGGAATGTTGAATATTGTTGGCAGAAAAAAATAGATTATCTTTCGTTATTTTTAGTGACCGCCAAGAAAACATCTGTACCAAAGAGCAGCTAACATGCGAGACTGTGATCACTCAGTTATTTACCAGATTCCATTTCTTCATGCCTCCTCTACTCAGACTGAATGCTTCAAATTAGCAACAGTCTCAACAATGTGAATCAAGTCCCGGCAGAACTTTTGTGTCTGGCTCAGAACAAGACTCTGCTGAACTTTTTCCCCAAGCAGTCTGACCTGCAAATGCCATGCCAGCAAATATGCAACAAACATTTCCAGGAAGGACATTGTTTGTTTCCTCTATAGGTTCAGATTAACAGGAATTATAAACACATTTAATAAATATGTGGGGGGCATTTTTGCATTTCTGTAACAACAGAATCAGTATTTTTAATTTCTAGGGGTAACACATATTCACAATTGGAAAGTCAAATAAGATTGCTATTTGGGGGCTGTAAATAAAGCTTTAGGGTTCTTTAAACTCCTAGTCTTATTGAGATACTTAAAAAAAAAATGTGAGAATCCAAGTATTCTCCTTAACGTGGAACTATAGTAAGACACAGGTCTTTAGGGATAAGAATAGGCATGTATAATTTTTTAAAAATTACATTACATCCAGTAACAGATTAAATATTTTATGTTCCGTATAATACTTGATTCCTTGAAGAGTCACATGAATGAATCGCTTTGCCACATACTATGTCATCAGGGTCATTTTTCAAAACCAATGTGCACAACACCTGGCCAACCTTCTGAGGCCACTTACATTCCATGTCAATAAAACTTGTTTTGTCAAGAGGGAGGGGGGAGGGGTGTGTTTCTGAGTAAAGCTGCCAATATGTAGTAACTGAGAAGACATTAAAGGGCATCAGAACATGGCTGAGGCACAACTAATTCATTTGGCACAGCCTACCAGGTACCACGAACTGATTGAAGAAACTACTGATTCTCAGCATTAAATAGGGTTTAAGATTTTTTTTAAAAATCTAAAGAGATACAGATTTAGAAAGAGAATTTATACTTTTTTTGGATCCATAGTTTAAATTGAAATTGTTGCACAGCAGACAAGTCTCCAAATGTAGTTTTACATACTGCTTATTGGAAATCACCTAAACTCAAGAGCAATCTGTTTTGCCTTAATCCATATTTCCCACAAAGTTTCAGGGTGAAAACTCAAGAGTTGGACCTGGTTTTGAAACTCTAAGCTCCTAGGGATCATTATTACTACCTTATAATTTAACTGGTTTTCTGTGATTTTGCCTTTGATAGTCCCATCGCAAGCACCCATGTGTTTTTGGCTTGTCAATTCTCGTCCTCTTTCTTTCTCTAACAAGATTAATTTAAGTTAGACTTCTCCAACTTTCAGAATCTTGTTTTCCCCCGTAGCCATTAAAAGGAAGCCCATTTCCAAGTGGGATGTATGTTAAGGACTTCTTAAGATCTGAGTCAACTTCTAGAGATAAGGAATTGTGGTGGGCTTCAACAAGTAATGAGTCACAAGTTAGGGGCTTGGGCTGGCCCCAGTGACTTTCAACAATTCCTTGGAAGTCAGCAGTTCTTTGGGTCTTCTCATTGCTGAGTAAAACAGCTTTGAAATCTGGAGACTCATCCTCCTAATAAAGGAATACTATAGCGTAGCACCAAAAATAAGACTATTAGTACCTCCAGGGCAGGAGCTGCTCTTATTCAGCCTTGCACTGACCCCTCCCTGCTCCCACAGCATCTAGCAGAGTTCCTATACAGAATACTTTAAAAAAAAAAATGCTTATTGGTTTTATAATCATTTCTATATGTCTTGCCTTAGTGTGTTAACTTACAGGCTAAATTACAAAAAAAAGACCAGTGATCTCTTTTGAAGCTGCTTTTCTGAATTAATTATACTCTAATCTCCAACACAGCTGAAACATTTCCATCCCAATGAAGAAATATTTCAAGAGAGTGCTTGTCATCGAGACCATTCTTAAAACTTGATGTATAAGCTACAAATAAAACAATAGAGAAACTTATGTTTGCAGAAGTTTGTCCTTAAAGTCAGGCCATGAGTAATTAAGATTTTTCTTCCCTCTTTTTCCTTCAAATGTAAAATTTAAAGAATACTACATTCTCTGCTAATAATGCTAAAAATTAATACAGGAAGTGCTAACTTTAGCACTGGGGCCTAAAAGAAGCTTGTATCATGACAAGATTCAAAAGTGTGTTCGTGAGGCAATAACATAGTTATTTTGAGAGAATTTTAGCAGCAGAATTGAGTATTTTAAAATTCTTTATATACCTTAAGTAAAATGTACATTAACTTGCCTTGGCTAAAGCTTGCATGAATGATTATTGTGCCCTAAATCTCACCTGCTGGAATTACACTGCAATCAAATCACTTAGGAAAAGATATGGTAATCCTTAAATGACTACGTTTTTGTTATCAGTAGGCATTTGGCTCCATGCTAAGAATTGCTTCCATTGCTTGGCAAATGTGGCAGATTCTGAAGCACATATTAAACTACTTTGGTCTTACCAATCACTTCAAAATGTTGAAACGATGACCCATGGTTTTGTAGAAACTCATTGAGTGAATCTGAAAATCACTCAGAGCATTTCTGCAACTAATAATAAAAATGTTATTAAAATATAAAAAATAAAAAAATCTTATCAATGAAAAGGGAATACTTCTCATTAAAATCAAGAAATTATGGATCTGTATCCAAAGATTAACTTAACTTAAAAAGTACTCTCCCTCCTTTGAAGGATTCACAAAGTAATTAGTTAAAAGAAATTTTTGTTTACTTTTAGGGTGGCTGGAGTGACTTTAAGCAGCGCTCAGAAATCAACTGGCAAATTGCCACTGTGGTTGCTTTACCTGGGCTGTGCACTGGGAATGAGAGAGAGAGGAGCTGTTTCCTACCTGAGTTGGGGGGGGCGGGGAGAGGGGGTTCTATGGGCACTAAGGATATCCGACAGGTGGAATGGGGCACTTGGGTTCGAAACCCTGACAAAATTGGCTCATCATACATTGAATGAGCTACCCTAAGTGGGGAGAGCTTCCTTCTTCCCACTCCCTGCCCCATTAGCATCATATGACTCTTAGGAGGCAGGGCCATATTTTAATTAACATTGCAAATCTAAGGCCTAACAGAGGGGCTGCACATAGTAGGTGCAAAAAGAGGAGAGTGAGAGAGAATGAAAGGCACTGATAAGTTTCTGTGCCTCAAGAAGTGGGGAATGAATAATCAATCTTCTTTCCGCCTGGTACAAAGAGGCCCCATTAAATCTATTTCCACTTGATGTTCTTTCCTACACCCAAATTGGCAGTTTTGCGTATACATATCGTATGACTATTGGGGGAAAAAGGAGACCACTTACGAGAAGCCTTCCAAGTACAGAAGCCAGTAACAGAAGAACTGCTTGTCTCCTAAATGTTTGCTTCTCTTCCAGAAGGCTAAAGAGAACATGAATGCCACAGAACAAAGTTTATGTCATCTTTCTCCCTATGTAAGTTAGGCACACCTAATTTTTCCTATAGCACTCTCTAACTTTCCCAAAGTTCTAGAAAAAAAAAAAAAAATCCGACATTTAGGACTTCAGAAACTTGGCTTAGATCTTATCTCCAGAGTTAAGTTGATAGCAGCTGGAAAAAAATAAATGCATCAAGAAGCATCAGGTATATGCAATTATTTTCACAACTAAACAAATGTCTTAGTGGACAAAGAAAATGTCAAACATTTGTCAAAAAAATAGTCCTGTTCAGAAATTTGCTACAAAAGCTTGAGATGTAATGGAGAAATGTTAAAGACACTTGAAAAGGTTAGTTGCTGATGCAATGGTTCTTGCAAGATAGTATTTTGCTCATGAATAACAAACCATTTTTTTTTTTTTTGGTGGAAACAGTTTATTCTTAGAATTTAAGCAATGCTTGATGACTGTGTTTAACTAACTAACATTTTGCCTCACAAACAACATAATGGGATTCTAACTAATTCCCTTATGCCTTTTTCCATTTGTATAAATCTAAATTCAAACAAAGATTTCATTACTGAATAATTCTGCTGTGATATTTTCTTAATCACAGTTTTTTCAAATCTTTCTATCTTAGTTAAACATGCATAGGTTTTGTTTCATTAAATAAAAATACAAGTGATTACCTCACTACAGACTTCATTTTAGGTGATTATCTTTAATTTGATGAAAGGCAATGTTTATAAAGTTGCCATTCTTTGTACACGGGCAATTCAGTGGTAATAAATATCAGGGAATCTCATCTCCTTGCAAACTATGCATATGATTATTCATTTGTTCATGCAACAGATTTTATTGTATGAATACTGTGAGCAAGGTATGATGCTATGTGTGCAGAGACTACAAACCATAGAGTCTGAGTTATATACTTGAAAATATCTTAAGTGACATTCATCTGCACGTGTGAGCATAACCTTCAACTACAAACTGCCCATATTTTGTTTGTTTTCTAGCTTTTGAAAAACAATGTGATTTTTTTTTCTCCTAAAAAAAAAAAAAAAAAGCAATTTAGCCCTTTGGGCACCTAATCTAAAATCTCTGTTGGTGGTCCTGTGTCTCTTGAAGCTGGAGACGGGATGTATAATCTAGCATTCCTTTCC